CTGCACCTAAGTTTTGTTCTTCTTGAAATTGCCTAATGCTGTATTAGGGAAGTAGCAAGAGTTCACGAAAAATCCAATTTCCTGTGTCGAAAAGTTTCAAATACAGACACGTTTTACTTATGGCTAGCCTCCAAACGCTTAACAAAACTTATAAGACATTTAGACAATCTTCTCCCAACTAAACTCGCTAACAACAAGCTAAAACACCTAAAAGCAGATTCCACGTCAAAAAATCGTTTTCCAGAGAACAAACATCAGTAATCTCTTCTTCATCGTTCCGCATCGCGTCAAAATTCAACGAATCATAACATCTGAGACGACATTTCGTTAAATCAGCACACGCGCCGTTAATAGCACTTCTGTTGAGCGTGAAAAGGTAACAAGGATACAAATCGAGGAAAATTGGAGAAGCGCGTGGCGTTTCTGCAGGTAAAAGAGATAGATCGAAGGAAATGGAAAGGAACCTGTTGCTCGGAGAGTGGTTTGCACTGCATGAGCTGGGAGATCTGGTCGTCGACATCGTGAGACGACTCAGAGAGCATGGAATTGGCGCCCATCGCGGCGATGGAGAAGAGGAGCGACGAATCTCCGGCGCCGTTGCAGTAAGTGAGGAAGAGAAGGTCCAAATGGAGGAAGGCGCGTGAAATAACAAGCGACGAAATGCTTGATTTGCACGGTTTCCAACAAGCCTTTTTTTTTTCCTTTTTCTTTTTCAGATTTTTTTCTTTCTCAATTTACTTGTGGAGGGAAGGACTTCACTCCTTCCAATCACGCGCGGCCACGTAGTATTTTCTACTTAAAATGAGGGGTAATGAAGTTTATTATTAAATTAAAATTAGATAGAAATTTTTATTCAACCATTTCACTTTATATTTTATTATTAAATTTAAAAACTTGTTTAATTTCATGCCCTCTTGTTCTAAAAATTTTGTTCTCAACTAATAAATAATCAATATTTTTTTAAATTACTATAAAGTCAACAAATTTGTTATCATATTTTTTTAATATATTATCATAAACATATATTTACCCTAAAAGATTTTTACTCAAAAGTATAAAATACAAATAGAGTTTATTCAATTACTTTTTTATTTGGTTAATAAATATCGCAAATATCAAAACTAGTTATTTTGTTTGGAGACATATGTGAAAAAATAGTCAAGGAAATTTAAATTTGTAAAATATTAATAATTATAATATATATATATATATATATACATATATTATAATGAAATATATTGATTTAAAAAAAATACTAAATTAATAATTGAAATAATAATGAAAAAAATAATAAAAAAACACTATTGAAAAAAGTTTTACATCCATAACTTTTGAGATTAATATTTAGTTTCTTTTGAGTAAATTTTCTTTTATTTATTTATTTAAATTCTTGAATTCATGATATTTATTATGTTTAATAAAAATATTCTTCTTATTAATATATATTATATTAATATAACTATTTTATTTTTTTTATAAGCGTTAATATTAACTTTTTTATATTTATAATCTATATAATCTTATGTTGATTTAAGAATTAGATTATCTTCGTGTTAGTGAGAAATCGATACAATGATAAAAAAACAGAAGAGAGAAAATCGAAGATCATATGATTAGTTAAAAGCTCATAAATCAGTGGGAAGATACCTAGTGACCACGAGATAGAATGAACGAATAAATCGAGAATGGGAATCGAGAATCAGAAAAAAGAGGAAAATTGATAGAAGTAATGGTAAAGTATACTGCAAAGTTAAGGTTAAGGGAAATCGTACTCGATAACTGGAATCGAGATCGAGGGAAACAATTATCATGCAGATGGAACATGAAGAGTGGCTTTTCACATCGCGACTAAGGTTAGAAATCGAGAAACGGTTATAATGCATATTGAACGTGGAAGCGGTTTTCTAAACCGTAAACTAAGGTAAAAAATCGAGGAACGTGCACATGGAACGTGGTGACAATTTTTTAACTGTTCTTGGGAGGTTATATTGAAAGATGCCTATAAATAGAACGAAGCTTGAAGAAGAAGGGGAAATTGGCAGAGACAGCAGAGACACAAGTGAAAAGTCTACCGGAAAAACGACGAATCATGAAGTTTCTGGCGATCTGGATTTCCATTTTCATTGATTATCTTTATCGCTTTCTTTACTTTCCCTGGTAATTTACTTTCGTGCAATTTACGTTTATCAACTTTCAGTTTCTGCCTTTTCAATTCCTTGTCATTTTATCTTTATGCAAGTTAAGATTCTGCGTTTAAGTTCTTCGCCATTTATACTTCTGTGATTTTGATTTCCTGTCATTTACATTTCTGTAATTTCGATTTCGTGTCATTTACATTTCTACAATTTCGATTCCTTGTCATTTACACTTAATGCAAATTTGAGGTTTCCGCATTTTACATTTCTCTGCAATTTAATATTCTGCACGGCTTTTCGATTCAACACTTTTACTGTTCTCTTTACTTCAATGTTTCCTAATAAAAAAAATACCAAAAAGAGTAATTTCGATTGTCAATCTATATGTCATATTACGTTGTTAGTATTTTCTCGATACTGTGGTATTTTCGATTCTCATACATGTTTCGATTGAAAACTGTTTGCTAGCCTAAGTAAAAAGAATCTACGTGGTTGAAATTTGATTAGAACCTAAGTCTCCAAAAAATTGAAATCGATCAAATTTTCACCAGAAACACTTTGTAAATTAATTTCTTTTTTCTAATGGTTAGATAGATTTTGAATACTCTTCATTAAGATCGAAGTATTTGAACTTATTTTTTTATGGTGTTTTATGGATAAGAACACTTCTAAGAGGCACTACGCTGTTAACAAAGGAAATATACATGTGAGATAAGGGTAGTTTTCTTGGACTGCCTCCTTTATATAGAGTGTCATTCTTGTAGTTTTAATTAAACTGAAATCTTTCCAACAAGGGTAGTTTTTTTGTACGAGATAAGGAAAATTGGTGTGATTTATGACATTCCTAATTGAGAAACGACAATTTTAGAATCATCACGATGTAAAGGTAAACAGGCTTAAAAAATTGTTAATTTTGACGTTTTGTTATGCCAAAGATTTTCAAATATTTTATAAGCTTTGATCGTGAATGTGGAACACAACCGTAGCTTTTTAAAGTCAAATACTTGCACAACAAAATGTGTTTACTCTTCAAACCCATCAAATGATTTTGACCATTTTTTTCTTTGAACAAAATTAATGGAAAAGAGATTAATGAAACTCAGGAATGCATCCAATTGTTTCTAATGGACTAGACTTGAAACTTTAATTGGATAATATTCCTATAAACTAAAAAATAACTAATCTACATTTCACAATTTATATGCTAAAAGTTACAATTCCAATTACTAGAAGCGAAAATTAAAATTGGTATTGTGTGTTTTTTTTTATTATCCATTATTTATCCCGTCAGACATTAATTTACAAGTATTATCAATTTTAATTTTAGCATACTTAAATTTAAAATTTTAAACCACAATTATTATTCTATCATCTGTGGTGTATATGTAACAATCACATTCAAAACTTTCGATTTTTTGTTCTTTCAAATTCGTTACAATGTTTAATATATAAAAATAGACACCATATTTTTTTGAGTTCTCTTATGTTCAAGTGTCCATTTCAAGGCCAATTTTTATCATTTTTTTCACTCCTTTTCATATGAAATCACAACAATGCACATTTTTTTTAGAACTAACAAATCACCATCATATTCTTGATCAAAATTCACATGAATTATTTTCACAATGGGTATAATAATTTTATTTTATGTGTGTATATACTACTTTTAAAATTAATATCAGTGGTCTCTCTCTCTCTCTCTCTCTCTCTCTCTCTCTCTCTTTATATATATATATATATATATATATATATATATATATATATATTCGAATAACTTTTGATTTAAACATTAAAATTATTATCTGTAAAAACTGTTTTAGTGATGTAGTACAAACTATTCCGGTTTATTTGTTTAAATTTTATAAATTATTATTGATATATATGATATTATGAATATAAACTTATACTGCTAACTATCTATCAACAATTTTTATATACTTTTATTAATAATAAAAGTACCTGAATTTAAATAATTGTTTAGAGTTGAGCTTGTCATATTTAATTCAAATGGCCATTTTAAAATATAAGAATAAACAATTGTCATATTTAATATTTTTAAATATAAACAAATTATTTTAGCTTAATCCTGTTAAATATTAATATTTATAACAAGCTTTATCTTCTAACTCTCATCAAACTCAATTAGTTAAACTTAACTATATTTTTTCAGAATAATTTCAAAAAAATTAACAAAAACATATTAATTCTTAGTAACATATAAGTAATTTTATAATTAAACCCATTCGAATAATAATCTCAAAAACATTAACCAAGACTTAGCCGGTTGGAAACACTAGTTATGTTACAATACATATAGAATTAATTAAACCTTCTTGGTTTGCTTTCATAGACACTTTATTTTTATCTTCTCTTTGATGAGACATTATTTTTTTTGGATTTTACGATTTCATATTTGGTATCATTATTGTATTCCTTTGCTCTGTATACTTTTCTCTTTGTATATCTTCCCCTTATCATGTTAGTGTGGAGAAAGAGAACATATGCACACTGCATGACATCTCTAAAGTATAACAACTAATCTAGACAAACTTTAAGCCAAGGCAATCTACAGTAACGACCAATTGCAGATCCAACTACAAATAAAATAACCTTATTTTAAGCAGCATTATAAAAAAGAAAAATATCAAGTAGTAATAATGCATAACTAAACAAGAACAAGGTCTAACAAAAAGCTCACACAAAAATGATTTTATTTAATATACAATAATTTTAAAATTTGAACATAATAACTAAGAAAAAAGAATGCTCCCCTCACTAACTTACTAATATACAAATTATTGTGCCAAAGATATTTTCGTATAATTCATGAAAAATACAACAGATACAGAGACAAGAGACTCTGTGATGCTAAGTGTGCACCTGTTGTTGACGATCAGGAAAATTATCACCTGATTGTTGGCTTCGCATAATTGCCGGGATAACATGTTCTATATCAGACAATACTTTGTGAGGCAGGCACGCAACTGTTGACGAACAATATTGTTTAGAACTGTATATGCATGTTCCGTGGTCTGCGTACCGTTGTAAAAAAACAATTGGAAGGAGGAAGGAAGGTGTATTTAGTTCAGAGCATAATGGACTCGTTCAAGAAGTTGAACCACCTGATTTACAGAAACATAGGGGGGTAGGAGTGGCTTCAAACTTGGTTTTGCTATATCCGGTGCTTCTGAAGACAAAATCATGTTTTGCTGCATACTTGTCAGCTCTAGAAACTGAGTCAACACGTCACCATCAAGTATCTTGGGTACTCCACCCTGATATAAAATAGACGTAAGAAAACATGGTTGGCTACATTTTCTTTTTGTCCAAATAGTTGTGTTCCTTTCTGTAAAGGCTTTCTCAGAAAGCTAGTAAAAGATATTTCCTCCAAATAACTTAAATCACACATGCATTATAGGAAAATAAGAATGAATCAAGGATATGAATGGCAAAATCTACTCCATGTAATGAAATGATTGAGTCAACCATAATCAATCAGTGTGCAACTATTTATTTAAGAGGAAAAATAATATGAAATTGAATCACATGATAATACACCAAAAAGTCCTTACCCGAATTTCGCGACTCCGATACTCATTATGATCATTTCCTAGAACAGGCGCTGTCAACTGATGGACAACAAGTCTTTCTTGCACTGCTTCTAATAGCTCATATTCTTCCCTGTACACAAGATAAATGATGTTTCTTATACATGTCATAAACGAAAACCTAAGCCACAAACACTAGAGCATCGCCTCCCAAAACTCGTCAACCCGCTGAAAGTTGAAGATGGTGTATTTTAATACACAGCATCTAACAATTTCAAACAGTCCTGAAATTATGGGATTTTTGGTACTGAGATACTCCTAAAGGATACTCTAAGATACTATTCATATATTCTAACAAACAGAACAAGATTACAAGGTTTGCTGAAGTAGTTGGTTAACGTTCACATTTCCAAAAATAAAGCAACACGCTAGGAAATGACACTCTAGTAACAAGAATCAGCATTCCACAATCCTTCATCAACGTGGTAATAAATATTAATCGCTACTGTAGTATCTTATATCCATATATTCAGTTCAACTGGATCCTGAATGGCCAATTTTGTTCTCAGATAACTGTAGCTAGTGGAACTTTAGATGAAACTCAATATTTCTACTCACTGTCTCATGTAATTTTCAAGGCTAAAACACTAAAATACAATTAAGTTTTAGAAAAAAGAAAAAGCTCCTATATATTGGAACACATGGTCAACTATATCATCATGAAGACAATAAAATATCAGAATAGCACAAGGATAATCCACATTCCACCCCAAGTAAATTGGAATGCAGTTGCAAAACATTGCGCCAGTGTCAGTGAGATGAAAATTACAAATAAAATATCACTGAAACAAAATTGCAGATTCAAGGCCTGAACAGATACTATGATTCCCTTCCCTAATAGTCTTCTCTGCCTCTAATTGATTCTCCACTTCTCACTTCCAAGGCCCTTGTCACATATACAGGTCAGGTAGTTATGCCTACTTTACATGTTCCCTTCTCCTCCAATTGCAATTTCAGTGTCATTGCATCATCAAGGAATAACTCAATTTAATAAGTAAGAGAAGGTTTGGTACAATAGCAAAAATACAGCTTCAGAATAGGGCATGGTACGTAAAAACTTTGAAGAGTACCATATTTTGGCTTGATCTGCATTATCTTAACATCACAACTTCTGAGAAAAACTCTTGTTTTCCCTCAAAAAGTAATAAATAATTTTCTTTTTAATAAAAAATCACCCATGTTTTTAAAATGATGGACCACAAAATATTTGAAGTACTTATTCGGTCAGACCTAGCCTGCTATAAATCTATCTCAACCACCTTCATAAATGAGAAAAAGTTCCAGGCAATGACCAAACTGAACCCAAAATTGTTCACGTAGATATTTATTGAGTTAAAGAGAACATATTTTGGTACCTTGATAAAGGGATGAAGATCATTATGCTCCCTAACAGTGTACTGGCAATAATAGTATTTTGTAGTGAATCAACATTTGTCTTGGGGCCATTGCCGCCTTGCAAAACATCATCAGCTGGAAGTCTGTATGAATATGAGCCCTGATTAAAAAAAAAAAAAAAAAAATTACATATAAATTACCATAGAAGCAAATTAAAGGGAGAGGGGGTGAGTAGATATAAATTGACAAGTTACGGAACAAAACATCACTAAATCCAAGAACAAAATGACCAGTGTGAAAACCTATCAATGTCCTCAGATAAAATAAACTAACCCAAAGTATAGAATCAGCAAGATAAATACATTTAAGTAGTAATGGGAGGGGCTTGTGAATCATGGGAAAGCACTTCTGGTTTAGCCAGTGTAATTCTTTATACCCATCACAAAACATATATAAACCATTAAGTATGAGCCGCTGCACCAAGACATTTGAAGAATCATTGCAAAGAGTTTTTTGGAACACTTCTCTAAGAGCTTAAACTTTTTTTTTTTTATGAAAATTTTTATGAACAAAAGTGAGTCTTAATGCTTTGTTCACAATGATTTTAGGATTCCAGTTCAAATATCTTTCTCTATTGATGTATAGAATTATTTCCATTATTATAGAATCAGAAAGCCAGGAAACATTCACCTTTGGTGCATACATCACATAAAGAAAGGACTAGAGTTGAAAGAATAACAAAATCATTGAAGTTCCTTTGGTATTTTGAGCCACGTATGAGAACATGCTCTAGCACAATTCACAATTGGATAGAAGACAATTATCATAGAACAAGTGTTTAAGGGGTAGTATCTCATGTTATATCAAAACTATCTCTTGCAGAGTGATTCACATCACGATTACAGTGATTGATCAAACACATTCAATCTGCACTCGGCAACCTCTGCTTCATACAAATCAAATTTCTAAAAAAGTTTACAAAGTGTTTAAGGAGTAGTATCTCATGTTATATCAAAACTATCTCTGGCAGTGTAATTCACATCACCATTACAGTGATTGATTACCGCACATTAAATCTGCGCTCAGCAACCTCTGATTCATACAAACCAAATATCTGTAAAACTTTACAAGATTTGTAATAACCATTCTTCCAGGACATTTTAAGGATATACCTTCTGGACGCTCAAGGCTATCTCAGCCATGAAATACGCACAGCTTAGTGTCATGTTGCATTCAGTACTTGCATTGTCTGATGTAGGTCACCAATAACAAAATATGGTTAGAATCTTATATTAAGGGGAATATAAAAAAATTTACAAATAGTTTTAAGTTTGCCAATAGCATAAAAATATACTTTTTTAAAAATTTTAACCAGCATTGTCCATCGCAACATTACACTTAAGCTGGGTACTTAAGCTGTGAAAAAAGGCAGTTACCATACACAAACTGCAAGTTCTCATACTCTTATACGTATTTGCAAATGAAATTGAATTGATTCTTCGACTAATTTGGAAGACTACTCTTGTAAAATATGAGCAGGAAAATATTTAGCAAAAATTGACATGATGTTCTTCTATTGAGTTCAAATCTAACAATGGAAGTAACATAAATGAATAGTTTTATTTGTTCCAATCTCATGTCCTTTAAAATAGTATTGATATGGTCAATCATCACATCCGATGTATTATTATTTTGGAGTACAATGACTCCATTCGGTTTTATCCTTATAAAACATCTCAATAGATTAAAAGATAAAAGCGTATATAAGCTACAATTAATTTCTTCTCTTAAGTGATGTAAGAGTTTTAGACATACCACAAAAACAAGTTCCCAAGTCAAGGGCTAAAGGTAAGAGTAACTTGAATCCTCATTTTTGTCCCAAGAGACAATGATAATGTTTTGATCTTGTTAAATGTAATGGGCTTAGGCCCATTGAATTGCAACCATAGCTATGAATATGCAAACAAAGGCCATCTTTATTCATAACCATGACTACTCTTCAATGTTGGCCTCTTTATCAATTGGATGTTAAAAATGTTTTTCTTAATGGTAATTTGCAGGGAGAAATTTATATGGAGCAACTTCTTGGTTTTGTTGGTCAGGGGGAGTCTTCTGGATTGATTTGTCGTCTCCGCAAATCTTTATCTGGTCTTAAGCAGTTTCCTAGCGCTTGATTTGACAAATTTAGTACTGTTGTTCAACAATTTCGTATGACTCAGAGTGAAGTGGATTATTCTGTTTTCTTTTCACCACTCAAGTGTTGGGTGCATCAATTTAATAGTATATGTTGATTATATTGTACTTACATGTAGTAATCACCATGACATCTCATAGGTAAAACAACACCTTTTCTCCACTTACAAACCAAAGACCTAAGCAAACTCAGATATTTCTAGGGGATTGAGATAGTATGCATTTGATATTTTGGAAGAAATTGGATTAATCAATTCAAAGTTTATTGACACATCCATGGATCCCAATGTCAAACTCCTTCCTAATTAGGAGGAGCCACTCCTAAAAATATAAAAGATTAGTTGAAAAATTGAACTATTTTATTGTTACTTGACCTAACATTTCTTTTGTAGACAGTATGGTGCGTTAATTTCTTAATTCTCCATGTCCAGGTCATTGGAATATTGTCATTCGTATATTGAAGTACATTAAAGGTTCTCCTGGGAAATATTTGTTATATGGACACAATAATCACACTAGAGTTGTATGTTATTTAGATGCTAATTGGATAGGTTCTCCTTTTAATAGAAGAAACATTTTCGGATATGGTGTCTTCATTGGTGATAATTTGATCTCTTGGAAGAACAAGAAACAAAATGTTGTAGCAAGATCTAGTACGGAAGCAAAATATAGAGCTATGGCCTAAGCTACTTGTGAGCTTATTTGACTTAAGCAATTACTTAAATAATTGCAATTTGTAGAGGTCACTCAAATGACCCTTATATGTGACAATCAAATTGTTCTTCATATTAACTCAAATCCTGTCTTTTATGAAAGGATCTAACATCCTGAGATTGATTGTCATTTTATTTGAGAAAATATTATTTCTAGAGAAATCAAGATTGAATTTGTTAATTCTAATTATAAACTAGCAGATGTGTTTACTAAATCATTAAGAGACCTAAAATTGACTATATTTATAACAAGCTTAGTACATTCGATTTATATGTACCAACTTGAGAGTGTTAGATATATCGGGCTTAGGCCCATCTCTTTGTATTTTCCTATTTATAAATGCATAGCCCTATGTGCTTAATATACTTTAAGGATTCAACCTAGTCTTTCTCTCTTTTATTTAAAGAGATCTCGAGTACAATGAGATAACATTTGTTGAGATTTGTTGTTCATGTATCTTTTTGTATGTTTCTTAGACTAGGGTTAAGGATTTGGACTGAGACCCATATCCTCTCTATTGTATCTCTTTTTCTATAAATACAATGTATCAGTGCCGCACTGTATCAAACCCTAAATAAGTTTTCTTATGTTGGTATCAGGGCGGGTAAGATCCTGCACTGATTTCCAGTCACCTCTGTCATCTCCGGCCATCGTGGACCGCCGTCCGTCGTCGTCATCACTGGCCAATGTCTCTGTTTGGACAGGCGAAAAAAGGGGTTTTGCATGTCTCGAGAAGCACGACCCACCCTTGCAAGTCGCTCCTCCATCAACTGCCCCACGTGCCGTCACGCGCGATCGTCCCGAAGAGCCTTCTCAGGCGCGTGTGTCCCACGCACTGCCTTCCAGTGGC